TAGCAAGTAATCTCGGCCGGTCTCACTTATGTTAAAATACAAAGTTCGGTTTCCGCCAAACCTCGACTTTTAAATTGATTATTTTGTGTTTACATATACTATATATACAAACATATTTGTACAGTTAATCATTTTAATTATTTTTTATATTATTCATTTCGCTCCAGGAATATGCGTTCGCCAAAGGGCGAAAAAAAACAAAATGGCATCTTTCGTCCAGTAAAAACGGAAAGTTTGTACTTGGAAGGAGGAATTCCGCCGGTGTTTCCAATATTCGGTGCTTCACTTGAGGAATTAGAGATGAATGAATCAATACACCCAAATGTGCCGCGTTTTGTTGTGGACTGTGTGTCTTACATCGAACGGAAAGACTGTATATTACAAGATGGATTATACCGAGCATCCGGCAACAAATTGGCTATAGATGACCTAAAGAAAAAACTTTCCGAAAGCTATATTTATGACTCAAAACTTTTAGTCGCTGATGACATACATACTATCACCAGTTTATTAAAGCAATTTTTCCGTGAACTGAGCAAACCTCTGATTCCTCAGCATATATATGACCAAATTGGACGCAATGTATCTGATGTTGTTGGTATTGAGATAATACGAGATATTCTTGAAAAGATTCCCGACCCCAATCGTGCAACATTGAAGTTTCTTATACGACACTTGAAAAAGTAAGTTGAACCAAATTATTGTCTCACTCAAAAAAAAAAAAAAATAACAACAAATTCTTCTTGAAATCAGTGTCGCTGCTTTTAGTGTGGAAAATCGAATGCCTGCGTCGAATTTGGCGATTGTTTGGGGCCCGTGCATATTTTCATCTAACCAAATGATATTTGTTGACATTGGTCGAATGAATACATTAACTAAACTGTTAATTGAAAATTACGAATACATATTTAGAGAAAATGAACGGCTAGTTAATTAAGCAAGTTTTACGAATCTTTATTTAAAATAAGTAGAATGGCAACCAAAAAATCACTTGTCGAAACATGCTGACACATGTATGTGCATGCATATCGCATGTGTATGTATTTGAAGTCGATATATTGTATCTATGTATATACATATAATTTTTGATAGTATGCTTTAAAAAGTCTTCGCCGATTATATCTTCGCGTAAAGCAAAAACTGTGAAGCACAAACCGCAGCAAAGCCCCCCTTTCCCATATGTTTAGCATGAGAGTTCTGATAGTTTTTACGTTTTCTCACAAAAGAGAATTTTGATTTAATAAACTTTTGAAGAAAGTAGGCAATATATTTGTAGCGGTATGTATGTACATACATTTGTATTGATGTATGTAAGTATGTACATAAGTCATCACGCTTCATAATCCTTAATGTTTAAATGCATAACATAGTCAGTAGGAAATTCCTATTTTTACAAAAAAATAAGATATATTTTTAAAACTAATTATTTATGATATAATTCAACCAAATAAACAATGTGATAAAATACGTACGGAAATTAAATGTATAAAAATTAAGTGTCATACATTCACAAACTTTGTATCAAAAATACGAACATGCATACGTACATACATATTAGCGCAGGCCGCAATTCCGATTTTTTAGAATTTTGATTGATAATAGCAAAAATATGGTTCGCTATGCTCTAAAAACAATCTGTGTAAAAGATGACAATTTTTGGTCAATTTCTTAGGCTCGCCCAAGTCCATCATAGTTCAGGTGCTAAAATTTTTTTTTCTTAGCTTATTTCGCTTCTGTAAAAAAATACTGGTCTAACACTTTTGAAGATAATTGAAAGTTTAGTAAAAAATTTATTAATTAGTGTATTTATTAATTTTTATTTATTGAGCACATTGAACTTTGATGGACTTGGGAGAGCCAAAAATTGTCGTCATTCACACAGATTGTTTTTAGAGCATAATGCATCATATTTTTGCCATTACCAATCCAAATTCTAAAAAGCGGATTTTCGGCCCACGCTAATACATATTTATACTATAAGACCACTTCAAAACAAAAAAAAAAGTATTTCATTTTCTCCTCTCAACGATAATTCTAAGAGGTCACGCATTGAGCGCAGCGGAGCAGATTAACATTTTTTTATTAAACAGTATAAGGAAAAATTGTTTCACCATCAGGTACTTTTCCAATTCTTCAGATATTTTTGTACACTAGTTAACGCATTATTTTGCATAGGTAACATATGTATGTATATATTACAGGTAGTTTTTCAATTAATCACATTGTGTTTACATTGTAATTGTAAAGCATTGGCACGGAGTTCTTGTAAATCAGCTTAATCTCTAAAGAGTATTCAAAACAAACTTTCCAATAATAAAGTTATAATTAAAAAAAAATAAAAATAAATTATCAGACGGCGTATAAATTTCTGACCTTTAGTTTAACTTTCAATTGTTTCGACATGAAGCCTGTTCCTGTATTTGTATGTTTTATGTTTTATGAGCATAGAAACCTACCAAAATTTTAAGCGTCCTACCATCCTACCAACGAGAAAAAAAAACCAATTTTGGTAGGAAAAGCCCCTGGTAGGCAACCCTGATACTGACCTCAAAAGAGAAGAACTCATTTTTTTACGTGTTATTCCTATTCTTACGTGTCGATGCGCGACGCCTTAGAATTATCGTAGAGAGTGGAGATTCATGGAGGCTCATTACTATACCAAATACTAAAATTGGAGCTGGGGTCCGGTGGCATTGCATAATCGTTTTTTACGTGGGCTATGTATATGTATGTATGTGGTTCATTAAACAGATTAGAAGTAAAAAAAAAATGATTTTCCTTTATTGGCATATACAAATTATATACACTGAGAAAAAAATAAACCATATCGTATTTGAAATCAATGTATATTCCGATCACTTCTTGATTTATTTAATTTATTAACTAATAGCCTCATCTGATCTGAGTTTAAAGATGGGAATAAAACTAAGTTATTCCATTTTGCTAGCCCAACGTTTCGCTAGTACTTTTTAGCATCTTCAGGAGTAATTCGTTTATTTGGTATCTGTCACAAACCAATGAGATACAAAACATATTAAAACATAACCATAAAGCAAGAAAAATATAAATAAAGACAATTACACATTTTAAGTATAGGTACAAACCAACTCAAACTATTGTTTTGAATATTTAAACAAATTGAAATTAGTAACATGAAAACATTTACATTTCTGTGGCCGAAACGACATTAAAAACAAAAAAAAAACTTACTAAACACGTATACACCAGGGATGATAAAAATGGGTTTGTGAATTTTGTACCAAATGGCCAAAAAAAAGTACTAAGTCAGCCGAAAAAGTACCAACATTTAAAATACCATACATACATATGAATACATATGTTTTTAAATTAGGTAAAAATCTCTATTGGTACGTGCGTTTAACATCTCCAGTAAAACATGTGCAGCAACAAAATTTCCGTGAATTTTATCTGTTATCTCACAAGAGGAAAATATCCAGTATAGTTTGCAGCAATTTTCGAGCTATCCGAAGAGCTGCTCGATTTTTCGTTTCGATTCAAAAGTGCAAACAGAAAAAACTCTCTCCATCAATCTGAAATTCAGGCAACCGGATCATTGTAGCGTTTTCCAAGCAGAGGTAGCCGCAAGGAGGCTTCGGATTGTTTGCTCTCTAGTGTAACCAGCCAAGCAGCTCTTAGATCCTTGTTGGTTCGTTAGAAAACGGTGAGGACTGGCTGTACTTCCTTATCGACCGCATCGGATAACTACGCTATTAAGCTCATTTGGGTTCCGGGTCATAGCGAAATCATGGGTAACTGCGTAGCCGATGAGCTGCCAATACAGGGAACCCTTGAGAAATTGCTCAAGGTCTGGGTGCTCCGCTGATCTCATGCGGTCTCCTTCTGGACAGATGGACGTTTAGTCAGCTCAGCGTGCGCTGGGCAAAGACCTTTTGGATGCAAGGTGGCTAAGTCCTTCTGACCACGTGTAGACCAGGGGCGGAACAGGGAGCTCGTGAGACTAAGCAACTTACACTACTCACTTCTTGTGAGCGTTCTAACTGGTCATTGCGTTATAGGTAAGCATGCAGTAAGGCTGAATATCATCGATGACCCTTACCGCACCAGCTGCATGGTGAAAAGTGGTATGGAATTATCTCAACACCTGATGCTCTGGAGTCCTGCCTTTGCATAGCTAAGGTTCAAGTACCTCGGATCGCATTTCTTCCACACTCCCGATGAGAATAGATATCCTTCGCTTGAGGAGCTTCGTGGTGAGCACCGAGCGTTTTTCCTACAAGACGCCATATATGTCATCGTCCTGTTCCTTCCCTCTCACCCTGTCCAACTTTCCCATGTCTTCCCCCTCCTCTTCTCATATAACAGCATACGTATGTTTTGTGGAGTTGTACTCTAAGTTTCCAATACAAACAAAAGTATCAAGGTAATCAAAAAAATCGTACAAGTACTTTATTAAGTGCATGTAACACAAAAACTTTACAAAAAAAAACAGTTACATTTAATGCAATCGAAGTTTAAAAAAAAAAAATTTTGCAACTGTTCCTTGATTTTAGCGAGACTTTCGTTTTTAAAAAACACCACGTATTTCCTTCTATGAGGTAGAAAAAGATGATAATATTTTCATCCACAGAATTTCCAATTTCCATGTATACACAATGGTATTGCGAGAAAATATGGCGTAGCGCCGTGTTTTGACAAAATTGGTATCAAAAATGTCGATGTAGTACCAATGTACTTTTGGGATTCAAAATGTACCAAAAAAGTACAATTGTACCATCAATTTCATCACTGGTATACACTGAAAACACTGGACCACAAATTTTAATTTGGTTTTTGTTCTCCAGACGCCACTATCCAATTTCGATGTAGAATTGCTCGGTGATTCCGAAATTCGGGTTAATTTTTTTTTTATGGATACTTTTTCGAGATATTTGCCGTTATTAAGTTTAAATCAAAAATTGGTTCCTTTTAATGACGTATATCTTACGAAACAATTAAAAAATCATAATATAAAATACGGCAAATGAAAGCCAATGAAATTCTCCATAAACCGTATATACATCATTTTCCGATAGGGCTTATTGTTTCTGACAAATTAATTAAGTATTCCAGTTTTTTTATTTTTTAAAGAAAAAATTAAAAAATAACAAACTTTAACAGAAGAAAAAATAAACCGAAAAATGACACTGAAAATGGCACAACGCCGAAACCGGTTTGTCTCCAAACCAAATTTGACAAGGGATGACGGAAAATCGCTCCACAATACATCATACTCCTACCCTGTCGGAAACACAAACAACCAAAATGTAAAAAGAAACCAGTTCTGTGCCAAAATTTTGCATTTGTACTAAAGCCAGTTCTGTTACAAAAAAAAAATCAAGTTACTGATGAAGAAAATCGATGGATAAATACGAAGTAATGAGTGGTGAAATGGAAATGCGCAAAGATTTTTTGTATGAAATATGAGCATATGTTTATTGAAAGTTTAATTAAATTTTAACTATTTTATAAATATTTCCCAATTTTTTTAAGTTATTTCGGTAAAATTTTGCACATAAGGGGTTTTTAATATTACCTTAATTATTCCTTAAAATTATCGAAATGGGTTCACTTTAACATATAGCTCCAATACAACTGATTATTCAGATATGTGTTTTTAGGCTATAACACTAACTTCATATCTGAATAATAAATTGCATGCGTGCTTTATGTTAGAGTGAACCAACACTGAGGGAAAAAAATATTAAAATTAAATAGAAACGTAATTGATCTAACTATAAACGTTAAGGAAAGTACTGTATATTGGTAAATATTCAATTCGATTATACGCATATTAAAGTGACCGCGTTCGTACTGAAAAAGCATCCGCGAAGTGAATAATCAAGACAAAAACTAAAAAAAAATAATTACTTTGCATGTTGTTGCCGGCAGTGGAATTCGAACTTGACCATCTCCGGATATCAACAACTAGTGGCAAGCAACTTTGCGCACTCAGCTACACCCAGCCATATAAATTTGCCTTCAAATGTTGAATATCCACCAACACCACAGCACGCGATTTG